TGGAGCCCGGAGGCCGGCTGTGCTCGGCCGCTCAGGGCCGGTACCCGGTGCTGGCCCGCGCCCCGCCGCCTGTCGTGCCGTCACTGCTGGAGCAGGAGGTGCGAGAGGTGCGCGAACGCGAGCAGGAGCTGCAGCGCCAGCGGCGCAGCGTCTACGGCACCGCCGAGTTCAAGGAGCCCGCGCCGAGCCTCACGGGTAAGACGCGGGCGCCGTGACGCCCGGGACCCCCGGGTTCCAGCCGCCCCCACCAGCAGCCCAAATCCAGGAGCCCCTCCTCTGGCCCTCTTCTTCTCGGGGTTCCCCTCTCCAGGCTCCCGGACTCCTGGGACCCACTCTCCATTCACTGTCCCCTGTCCACCCTTTCTGGGCTGCCTACTCCCATCGCTCCACGCCCCCCGCAGAGGCGGACTCCCGGTTCCCTACCACCTAGGCTGGGGGGCTGGGGGGCGGGGGCAGAGGGAGCGGATTCCCGCTGTCCGCTTTGTCGGTTCCAGAGGGTTCTGGCGCTCCTGGATCCTTCCTCTGAATTGTCGAGCTTCTGCCTCTCCTCTCTGGGCTCGCCTCCCTCCTTCCTCAGGTTCCTGGATTCCCAGAGCTGGATGGAGGCCTCCAGAGGGAGGTGGGGTGGGGTGAACACCTGTATGTGTTTAAGGGGCGCGGCCGGCCTCCTTCATCCAGGCCGCCTCCAGCTGGTGAGAGGAGGGGCAACCCTGACTGAGCACCCCTTCCCCCGTAGCGAGCAGGGGCGACGGAAAGTTGGCGGTGATCTGGCCCCCCCGTAGAAAGGCCTCGGAGAACGGCCTGGAGAAGGTGAGAGCCCCCTTCCCCCGGTGCCTCCAGCGCCTGTCGCTTCCCCCACCCCTCCCTGTGGCGCCAGGACGTTGGGCAGGGGAAAGGTGCATCCCGTGTCCCCTGGAGCCCCACTCTGGCCTGGACTCAAAGTCCAAGGCACAACCCGGGGTTGAAGAGGCGGTGGTCTTGGGACCCAAGCGGCCCCACCCTGCACCTGCGTGCGCGGCGCGGGCCCCTGAGGCCGGCCTTGCGTCTCTCTCTCCAGGAGGCGCGCAAACCTTGAGGTTTGGGCAGGCTGGGACCGCCGACCGGAAATAACATAACCGTCGGAAGAACCGAGACGGGGGACCCAGCAGTGCCCTCCGGATCTGCAGGAAGCCTAGAGAAGGTCAGCCCTCTGTGCTGGGCAAGGTGAAATTGACCAGCCCATCCTTGATCTTGACTTTGTGAAACTGAACGGTCCCCTCTATAAAACTGTTCAGCCCCCGTTGGGAAAGTGACCACTGCCCACAACCCCGCCGGTGAAACTGTCCTTCTCCACCTAATTGCAAACCGAACTGACCTCTTCCTTGACTGTTAAGAGGGCCGGGGTCACCCGCTCCCCACCCTCCAATAAAGCCCCTTTTTTCTGGGTAGTGCAGGCGCTTTCCTTCTAGGTCCTCTTCGTCTAGGGTGGGGCGGGAGCGCTGACGGCTGAGGGAGGCCTGAGAAAGTCGCAAGAGGCACCGGCCGAAATGCCGGAATTTGTCCTTATCTCCCGGTTTCAGGGCTGCCAGCCTCCCTCGGCCAAACCCGGCCAGGCCCGGGTCCTACTGCCCCCTGGCGGCGCGGGCGCGCACTGTGGCGCTCGGACACAGCTCACGCCCTCCCTTTCCCGGCTTCGTTGTCAACATTTATTGGTGCCAACGGCGTGCCCCGCTCCGGACGCTAGCTAGACAAAGGTGATAAGAGCCTGTTCCTACCTTGGGAACGTAAACAATAGCTACAAAAAAAAAAAAAAAATCGGATCCTTGTACCGGCCAGCCGCCCCCAAACAAACAAAACCAACCTCTCCCCTGGATGGGGATTCAAGAGGATCGGAGAATACTCGAAGTTGTCTGTAGAACTGCATCTGTGCAGTTAACATTCTGCAGCTATAGTTTAACAACTCCTTAGAAGTGCACGGAGAACAGAAAAGGTGAGAACCAGGAACGTTTAGAATCACTGTTTAAACTCCTGGATCTGTCCAACTCTGTCCCTTGCATAGGGGCAGAAAATGCCTAGTGAAATACAAATAAATATAGAGGAAGGCTGGCTGGTTAGTTCAGTTGGTTAGAGCGAGGTGCTAACACCAAGGGGCAGGCTTTGATCTCTGTACCAGCAAGCTGCCAAAACGAAAAACATAGAGACAAGAAAGACTTATACCCAAGAGCAGCTTAGCCCAAGAAAGGCCCGCCTCCTGAACCCATCAGTGTACTAACCACATGCTTGACTGTGACTCTGGGAGGTCTGGAGAGAGAGGCAGGAGAGAGCCAGGGCTGGCAAGGTGGGAAATGGAAACACCCAGAACCTATTCCTAATTCCCAACAGAGGAACTAAGAACTGAGCATATAAAAGGGACAGAATGACTTAAGTATAGACTGGGGGTTCTCTAACTTTCCTGCCTATTAAAGCCAACTGAGGCCCCCCATGCCAAGTAAGTCAGTAGATACTTGAACATCAGTATTTTTTAAAGCTCCCCAGGTTATTCCGACGAGCAGTCAAGTTTGAGAACCATAATGTAGATACAGACCAGCAGTTCTCAAAGTGCAGTTCCTGGACCAGCAGTATCAGTGATGCTTGGGGACTTGTTAGAAATGCACATTTTCAGGTACTATCACAGACCTAATGACCAAACTTTTCACGTGATTCTGGTGCACACTAAAGTTTGGCAATTGGGTAGATACAGTTCCTTAGCAACAGGACCCAGGAAATCAAGCTTGTTTCCTTCCTCTCTCAGTACTGCTGCCACCCACCGGAAACCTTTAGTGGGTAGATTGGCTTAAAGGAGACAGTCTAAAGCTTCTTGTGGCTAGTTTGAATTGAGATGAGCTGTAAGTGTAAAACACACAACAAATTTCAAAGACTTAGTAAAAAAAAAGAAAAACATGAATTTTTTACATGGATTGTATGTTAAATATTGAGTATATTGGGTTAAGTAAAAATATCACTAAAATGAATGTGACCTCTATAATTTTTAATGTGACTACAAGAAATTTTAACATTACGTGTATGACTCATATTTGTGGCTCACTTTATATTTCTGTTGGACCGGGCTAGTCTAAAAACTCTTACAGCAGCAGTAAAACTCACAGGACCTACTTCAGATCAATATCAGGGAGCTTCAGAACTTTTTTTTTTTTTTTTAAAGGATGACCGGTAAGGGGATCTTAACCCTTGACTTGGTGTTGTCAGCACCACGCTCTCCCAAGTGAGCTAGCTAACTGGCCATCCCTATATGGGGATCCGATCCCGTGGCCTTGGTGTTATCAGCACCACACTCTCCCAAGTGAGCCACGGGCCGGCCCCTTAGAACCTTCTTGAACTCACTCAGACATGGGCTATGGACTAAAAAATCCTTGATGCAATCAGTAATTGTTACCAGAAGCCCCTTTAGATGAGCAAGGGTTTTGGTGTCCAATCCTGACTCACTGCACCTCTCACATCCGTTTTTTTCATCCGTACACTGGGGCTTATGATAATACTATGTGCCAGGGACTATTAGGTAAGCGGGTGCTTTGCCCCAAAGCACAAGGGAAAGGCTCTGGGTCTCTGATTCTCACTCTGAAAATGCTGGGGGATCCAAAAGGGCTTAAAGGGGAGTAACTAGCAGCTGAGTGGCACCTGGGTCAGGAAGGATCCCCCCCTCTCCTCCAAAGTAGCCAGATGAGATCAGACGAACCCGGTTCGGATGCAGGCGGTGCCATTTGCTCGCCGGAGCTTTGAGCAGCTGAGTTTATTTCTCACAGCCATGGTCTCCTCTCCAGTCCAAGGTGGAGAGAGGCTTAAAGATCCCAACCTGGGGTTCCTTAGGACTCTCCCATTCCGCCCGCGCCCCAGTACTCCGCAACCTACTGGATCCCAGATCCAAAAGCTGGAAGAGGAAAGTCTAACCTGACCCTTCGGAAACTGATCTCGGGCCCTTTCCTGGGGCATGTCGGGAAATGTAGTCTTTCATGTTAGAAAGAAATAACTTCCGAGTCAAATTATGAGAGCGGGTGTGGCTCTAAGTCTCTTCCTCCAGTGGGCGTTGAATTTCCTTGCTACCCGAAACTTGCGGTTTTCTAGGTTCCGGTATTGACAGGCGAAGCTTCTTCCCATTTTGCTTCATGTTCACCTCTGCGCATGCGTTGCGCTCCCGCCCATCGGTAGACGAAGGTTTTGTTCCAGAGACTACATTTCCCAGAAGGCCGCGCTAGTGGGCGGGGCCTCTCCACCCACCGGCGGGGCGCGGCGCTTGGAGCGGACGCTGAGACTATGACCTCTTTCTTTCTTTTATTTAACATAAAACTGGTGTGTCCGCATTCAGGGCCCGCGGCCGGGCCGGACTCAGTGCGGACAAGTCAGCTCGGCCTGGCCCCTTGGAAGGTGAGCCGGGCTGCTCCAGGAGAACGAGTGAGCCCCTCCCTGTCCCCTCTCCCGGAGTTTGGAACTGTCAAGCTCCCACCTTCTTCCCCGGGTTCAAGACCCCTGCGCGGCCCAAGCCGCGGGCCCCGCCGCGCTCGGGGGCCGGGCCGGGCCTGCAGGGCTTGTGAGGATCTGCACCAGCAGGTCGGTGGCCAGCATATGCGACGGCTCCTCGAAGCCGATGGTCAGCAGCTGCTGGTAGTCCCCAGGCGGCTGCGGGCACAAAATCCTGGGGTACCGGGGACAGACAGGCCTGGACGTGAGCGACCCCGGCCTCTCTGGAGTCCCTCCCCTCGAGTGACAGGCTGTGGCTGAAAGAGGCATTGTTTCAGCTGGGAGTGGGAAAAACCATAGGGGAAAATTGTTTCCTTGTTGATGAGAAACTTAGAGTAATGTCTCCTGGAGGCTGAATAACTGGTCCTGACCTTGCAATTCACTCTGCTAGGTGTGTGTTTTGGGGCAGGTAACTTAACCTCTCTGAGCACCTGTTTTCTTGTTTGTATACTGGGGACAGTAGTGTAGACTTCAATGGATTGTAATACGAATCTGCATAAAGCACTTTTCAGAGCACAATAAAATACTATCATTACCAAGAGGAGCAAAGTGTTGGGGGATGTAGACGGTTTTTGGTGGGGTTTTGCTCCTCCCTCCAGAGCCCAAGCCCACTTTGCCATTGTCTCAGCTCCTACCATGAATATAGGTCATCCTCGGCTGGTCCTAGGGGCACCCATCGGCCAATGGACCACAACTTCTGGATCTGGGGGCACGAATTGGCTGGACTCTTGCCTGTGTCTTCCCATGTATCTCGATAGCATAGGAAGTAGCTGGGAGGGAGAAGCAGCAATTAAAAGTGATCAGTTCCCTAGCTTTTGCTGTTGAGGGCTTTAATTTTGGAGATGAGGTGGAAACTCATCAGAAATTACCCTGAAGTTCTTATGCAGGGATGTGACTCAATACTGAGGCCTTTTCTCCCTGCCAACTTATTTTTAAGAGAAGGGCTTTTATTTTGATGGGACAGTGGATTAAAAAAAGGGGAGGTTGATAACACCAAGGTCAAGGGAAGCCCATGTTGGCATTGAGCACAGGGAGGGGAGGACTTTGATTTTGGTAAGGGGGCTTACTAATCCACATGGGAATCTTGTCCCCGGCTGCTGGGCTCTGGGGTGGTTTCCAGGTTCCAACGCATCTTCTTATAGAGGCATCGGGGGAAGCGGCTGGCATTGTAGGCGGCTGGGGCAAAGTATCTGAAGATGGACACCTCGTGGGAAGGGCTGATGGAGAACCTCCCACAGAAGAAACAGGAAATGCTGGCAGGAGGTGGCAGAGTGGAGGATTAGGCTGGGCCCTGGACTCTGCTGCCACCACCACCCCATCCCAGTCTCCTACCCTCTTACCTCTGGGGGTCAGTCTCGTCTAGGTCCACAAACCCAAAGGAGGCATACATGAGGACCAGTTGCTCCAGGCGCAGGGTCAGCTGTTGAGAGATCTCCAACAGCTGCATGGAAGAGGGGGCATAATGAGATCAGCTGGCCTGCCAGGAGCAACCCCTCGTCCCTCAGGCCTGGAGCTGTGGGGTCTAGGAAACTTGCTCCACATACCCTTTTTCGGACCAGCTCCTGCAGGGCTCCAAAGATGGGGGGCACGCTCCTGGCAGCTGCCTCCAAGTACAGGAAGTAGGGCTCACACATCCGTAAGAAGGTGGGCATGACCTTTGCCAGCTGTTCCTTGTGTACTTGCTCTCTGCTGAAGGGGGAAGGGGGCCTTTGCCTGGGATCCCTCGCACACCCCTCCCCCACTTTCTCCTATTCTACTCACCCTCCACCTATATCCCTGGCCTAGAGGCCAGTTACAAAAAATTTCCCAGTAACAAGCCTTTCTTTTTTGTGTGTGTGTGGATGGCCCCTGCAGGATCTGAACCCCTGACCTTGTTATAAGGTGTTTTAAGGCTGCGGTTTAACCTACTGAACTAACCGGCCAGCAACCCCCTCCCCATCCCACCACTCCAAGTCTTTCTCAGAGTATTTTCCAGGTCAACCTGCATCAAAACCATTTGGAACTCTTGTTAAAATGCCAACACCTGAGTCCTGCAACCCACTTTTGGCTCAAAACTCCCTGCAGGGTGAAGCCCAGAAATCTAGAGTTTAAACTGCCTCCCAGGAGTTTCCAATGGACGCTGAAATTTGAGAATCACAGTCCCTTTTTCCCCTCATCTGGAAATCACATTATCCTTTGGGGTCTCAAACTGGTAGCCCGCGGGCCAAATCTGGCTCAGATGGGTTTTGTGAAGCTGGCACAGGGTTCAAAATTTAAGCCAACATTCTTAAAAACTGGGAGTAAAAGTCCTAGAGATTTGGCAACCCCAGGCCCACACCATCTCAGGACAATAATAACAGTTGCCCCGTACCCTGAATTCTACACAACCCTCCTCACTCTCCGAAACTGAATTCCTAATCAGCTAGCTTCATTTATTGTCTCCCTCTAACTTCTAAATGCTTTTGAGTTTGCGACACTGGTGTGTGCCGTCTATCCTGTCACCCGTTCGTCCAAGTCTCCTTACCCACGGGAGCCTAGGACCCCATCCAGCATCACCTGTAAAGCAAGTAGCTCTGGAAATCATCAGCCTTCTTGAGCAGGTAGCAAAGCTGTTCAGTGATGGGGCTGAACATGGTGTCCAGGGATAGGCGAGGAGGGGCTGGCGCAGGACTGGGGGCCAGAGGCTTAGGGGAAGGTGTGCAAGCAGGGGCCTCTGGCAGGTGTCCCTGGGCATCCTCCGGCTCTGGCTCCGGTGGGTCCCCAGGCCTGCTAGGGGGGGTCGACCATGAGGGGTCTCCGCAGGGCTGCGTGCCTGATTCCAGGTCGTCCGGAGGTGGTGTTTCTCCAGGGTCCAGGGGTAGCGGCCCTACGAACCACTGCTCTGTAGCCATCGAGGAACCGGGAACTGGGATCTGAACCCTTTAAGCCTCCACTGCTCACGTTGGCCACGGGTTCGACACTGCCCCGGGAGCCCCGAGTCTCGGGAGCTTCAGGCTTGCCCGGGCTGGGAACGCAGCCCCCTCCAACTCACCCTTGCCTCGACGTTTCTGCCAGTGCCGCGCAGCGCCCGGCCGGGGGAGTTCGCCTTCTTTGAATTTCAACACGCGGGAGGGGAGGGGCGCGCCACCTGGCCGCGCTGCGCATCCGCGCGCTCCAGGAACCCGGTGGAGGGGAGGAGGGACCAGCCGGGAGCCGATCTAGGCAGGTGCTGGGGCGGCCAATTCCCGGGGGTGCGGCCCAGAAGCCGGCATCTTTCTCTTCGAGTTGGCTTCCTAGGGAGGAGGGGTCTCTAACGCGTGTCCAAACCCCCAGGGCTCAGATATAATAGAGGGAAGAGATGTCCAGGCCCCACCCCCAGTCTCTGACCACCAGGCCCCAGAACCTGTTTTGTTGTTTTTAAACCCTAGTGGAGTTGATAAACTGTATTAGAACTTAGTAGGGATTTACGACGTTGCAGCTGTTATTACTACTACTAACAATAATAGTAATTTTTTACTTTTTCTTTTTTAGAAGAGGGTAAGAGGATCTTAACCCTTGACTTAGTGCTGTCGGCACCACGCTCACCCAGTGAGCCAACCGGCCATCCCTATATGGGATCCGAACCCATGGCCTTGGTGTTATCAGCACCGCACTCTCCCGAGTGAGCCACGGGCCGGCCCCATAATTTTTCACTTAGAACACTTTTCCTATCCTATGATCTCATCTGATGGCCCAATCCCTTCTGTTCCTTTCATGGAGAGGGATTTGAGGCCTGGAGACACTGCCATGATCCCAAAACAGACCCCTGTCCCCAAAGTTTGTAGAATGGAGTCTTACTCTCCCGAGTGAGCCACGGGCCGGCCCCATAATTTTTCACTTAGAACACTTTTCCTATCCCATGATCTCATCTGATGGCCCAATCCCTTCTGTTCCTTTCATGGAGAGGCATTTGAGGCCTGGAGACACTGCCATGATCCCAAAACAGACCCCTGTCCCCAAAGTTTGTAGAATGGAGTCTTCCCAACATGCAAAGGCTGATGGGTACATAACTACAAAGCCAAATACATTAATTATACTTAAAGACTCAGGGTAAAGAACTCAGACAGGTGTCAGATGCTACCCCATGTGTCCCTGAGCAAGCATTTTCGCTGTGCTAAGCCAGTTGCCTCATCTATAAAGTGGGTTTTTATGAGCTCTTTACCTTGTGGGGCTTGGGAGAGGACAACCGAGAAAATGCTTGTAAAGCATAGAGTTAACTACTAGTCACTCAACAAATATTTGAGCACCTACTGTGTGTGCCAAGCCCTCTTCTGGGCAGGGAGAGATGACAGAACAAAGGAAATGTCCCCACCCTCCTGGAGCAGTTACTAGTAAACTGGCAGTGAGGCTTTCTCCCTCCTAGAACTATTCTGTCCTAACCTTAGGCTGTCCTAGGAGGCTCTTCAACACCCCTCCCCCACTCCATTCATAAAATGGACTCTGTGGTATTTTTCCTTTTCCTTTTTTTAAAATTTTATTTAAAAAAACCTTCGGTGCAATATTAAAAAGCAATACAGCCAGCTGGAGCGACAACCAACAGAAAGAAAGGGGGCAGGGGAAGGAAGACCCAGGGACCCCACACCAGTTGCTCCCCAGGGGCTGGACACCAGGGGCACACTGGGAAGGGGCATGGGTGGTGGGAGAGGGAAGAAAGGCCACCCACCAAAAAGAACAGGCAGAACAAAACATTTATATAGGAAACATCTGGCTGAACTGAAGAGGATCTTGGGGAGATGGGAAGCCTCCCCCTTTCTGTTTTTCAAAAATGTCCTGGACTGGGGGGGAGGTTTGGCCTCTTGGGGAGAAATGACCAGCCATGTCCCACCCCACACTCCACTATCCTGGAATATGAGATGTGCTGGATGGCGTCTGTGTGTGTGTGTGTGTGTGTGTGTGTGTGTGTGTGTGTGAGAGAGAGAGAGAGAGAGAAAGAGACAAAGGAAAGAGATGAGCAATGTGTGTGTGTGTGTGTGTGTGTGTGTGTGTGTGAGAGAGAGAGAGAGAGAGAGAGAGAAAAAGAGACAAAGGAAAGAGATGAGCAAACAAGGTTGCTCCCTCCCTGGAATCTGTTATGAGGGCTGAGGGTGTCCCTGTCCAGCTCCTGGACTCTGGGGGTCTTGGGTGAGATGGGGACTGGAATGGGTTGGGGCAGGGGTGAGGCTGGGCGCTCAGCCTAGAAAGCCATCGGGGTCATCATCTTCAAAGTGGCCTTGCTGAAGCACCTTGATGTGGTGCTCATAGATTTTCAGGGCTGGGCCAAGGCGGATGGACAGACCAGTCAGCACATCTGTGCGCTGCATGAGCAGCAAAGACTTGCCATCGATTTCCTGGGTGGGACAGAGAGACAGCAGGGTCAGAGCACAGCTCTGCTGAGGCCCTGAGTGCACAGTCCCGGACTGTGAACTCACCTGCTCTTGAAAAGCTGTTGCCTGTTCGGGAAAGCCTGCCTCGGTGAAGTACTCCACCACGTCCATCACGGTCCACTCCACAGGGTCAGCTGGCTTCTCCTTGCGCCCAGGACTGTATCAAAACAGAGGGCACCAGTTAACACTGATGCCCCTGTGGCGGTTACACACAACTGGGCAGCACCCCCATGTCTCAAACACCCCAACTTACGGACAGCCAAAGGGGGTCCCGTCGGCTCCAGGTAGGGCTGGTTTTCCTGGGGGCAAAGGCACGGGGGATGGGGAGTCTGGCCCAGTAGCAACAGAGGCTGGAGGAAAAAATGCACATGCCTGTGGCTTTGTCTTGGGTCTGTATTCTTCCCTGCCTGGCACTCCCCGCCACTCAGAGGGGCCCTTACCTGATCCCCCTTCCTTATTCATTGCTGCCATGGAGAACACCTGGCGGGTGCCACTGCCTGGTGCTGGTCCCCGCCCTTCATCCTGGCCCTGGTGGGGTCCACAGGGCGTCCACTCCTTGACCCTTTCCTTGGCACTCGGAGGGCCCCGCTCTCCATTAAGCTGGTGGTGCTGGGCACCTGCAGGACGGTCACTTTCAGGCACTTCTGAGCCCTCTGACACATCGTCTTCATCATCTTCGTCTTCATCGTCGTCGTCGTCTTCCTCTTTCTCAAGCACTCGCTCTTCTCCACCTCTCTGGGGCCAGAGACGCGAGCGAGGTTAGTATCTGTTCCAATCCTGGACCCAGGCCCTGGGATCCGGGACCGAGTTATGTGCTCAATGCCACCTTTAATAACAATACGGACTAACTTTTACGCACTCACTCCACGCCAGGCTGTGTGTTAATAAAGCCCTCAGTGGCCAAGTCTCAGGAAACTCGCTCAACAACCCCAAGGGGTCGCTACTGTTAGTAAGACGCGCTTACAGAGAAGGAAACTGAGGCTACGAAAGATTAAGTCACTTGCCAAGGTCACCAAGCGTCAAGCCCTCAGGGAACGCGCGAAAAGCCCCGGCCACCAGCCGTCCAGTTCCTCTCAGGACTCGCGCCCCTACAACCAACTTCGCCCGCACCTGCCCACCGCGCGGCTTCCCCGCTCCCCGGAGCGCTCACCTTGCTCCGCGACGAGCGGGCGCTGGCGGCCGGCGGCGCCCGTCCAGGCCTGTCCCCGCGGGGCAGCGCTAGTGCTCCGAGGCGGGTGCGCTCCAGGCGGCC